TTCCGATAAAGAACAATTTCTAAAGGGGTTTGCGACCCTTGATAAATAGATTCTCAATTCCACAATGATGTTCCAGAACCTTACTTCTGCACTTCGTGCATACAAATGCTGAATGCTGACGGATTTGTGTTTAGTTTCATCGGCGAGATTCCTCGATTATTACTAGTCTATGCAGTAAAAAATCTATTATCACTTTAAAATGTTTATTATAAATATAAATGAAGGGGTAAGCTATAAAACAATGTTAGAATATTTATAGAAAAAAATCTACATCAAAATAATCACTATCGTCACTGGATTCGTCCCATACATTAATTCTGACATTAGTTGACTTCTGTAAAAATTTTCTTCATCAATGACATGTTCTACACATTTTTTCCAACTAGAAGCAGATATTTTTTCTATTTCACTTCTAATTAATTCTATTGTCCCAAACCAAAATTTCTTGTTGTTTTTTATTAAATTGCAGGGATATGGTGGAAGACGGACAACTTCCAAGAACTTTATTTTATTTTTTTCAATTTTACCTACAAAGGATTTTGTATTGCTTTCCTAGGAAAATATTTTAGAATCATTATGTTAAAGCCTTCAATTGGAAATCAGGGACTGCTTTAGGAAGATTTATAGAAAGTACACTAATATGAATTAATATCTATAACATTTTAAGTACAGCCCTGGTTTGTGGTACACGTGCTGATAAGAATGGTTCCTTTTGCTTTACAACAGGCGGGTCTTAAGCTCATTCCGAAGCCAAACCCATAAGAGGTTGTAAAAACGGTATATCGTCCGGCGAACTTTACCGGAACTTTAATTTCTACGGTTACATTATGATAAAATACGCTGGCTACCCTTTAAATGTTACATGACTTGCCTGGTCTATCATAAACGGAAGGCCCTTCAATAAACCAACAAAAAGCCGATTTTCAGGCGTTTATCGCTAGAGGGAGTTATTTTTATTTTAGTAGTATCGACACCTTAGAAATTTTAAAATCATTTCCGCTTTTCCATTGGTGGTGTTACAGTCATTCTTTGTTATATTTAGACCGTGGGTTGAAGAAAATTTCGATGATGGAGTAACGCATGAAAAAGAAAATGTCATTTGATTATGTGCAGCAAAACAATCGTTCTACGAGTATATGAAGGTAAAATTTAGAACATAGCATATAAACAAATCCGCTAATGATTTATATTTTTTATTCCAACATTTTTTCAAAAACGTCAGAGGGCATGGGAACTGCCATTGGGAGGACAGTGGAGTCAACTGGCATTCCAAGATCGACTTTGCGTCGGCTCCCTGGTGGTGCATACTGGATTCGCAAGGGAGTTTATGCGATGTATGAGAGTAATCAGATCCAGCACTTGAATCATTGCAACAAAAATTAAAAGAAAATGGTCGATTTACTAGCAGTCGTGAAAGATTGCGGCGATTTTTGCACAGAATTCTATTTAGATTTCAAAATATTGGCAAGACAAGTTGCATTCAAGAGTGGCAAAATTCTTCATTGAACTGAATTTTTAATATTCATCTTACACTTTTGCTTGAAGGAAGGTTGGGTGCCAATCTCTTTGCTACTTTCAGCAAAAAATATTAAAGACTGCTCATTAGATCACCATCAGGCCATGACAAGCGAACTTTTTGAAAATTGGGTAAAAAAGTCTCTGTTCCAACTATCCCGCCAGACATCCTAATCCTAAAAAAGAGCTATTGCAAGAGTTGCTTAGTGTGTTTTAAAGATTATTATACCAAAAACCAACTAGTTGAAGTTTTAACAACCAAATTGTGTGTTAAATCTCATTTCGTTGACCAAGTCATAGAAAGATCCTCTAATACATCGTTTACCTCCTTATCACTGCGAGTTGCATCCAATAGAAATGATATGAGCCGAATTTAAAAACAAAAACGCAATAATATAATCTCAAAAATGTCCGACCATGCAATTGATGTAATTAAAAGTCAGTGTGAATTAATACCAGAGAACCGTTGGAGAGAATGTGTTAATAATGTACGTGGAGTGGAAAATAATTATAAAAAACTTGAAATAACGTAAAAACATTATTTCTATTCGTGGATAATAGAGTTAAATCATATTCAAATCATTATTTCTATAATTATATAGTACGCAATTTCCTTACTACTACCCTATCCCGGTTTGATTTTTTGGACGAAACATACCTAATCGTTAATAGCATTATTAGGGTAATAACGATTTTTTGTCGTGTATACGTGTACGTCTATACGTTATTGAAATTGAAATAATCCAAATAATTCTAGGTTGCCTTTTTGGAATTTTATAAACTGCTGATAAGGTGTTTTTCCGTCGTATTTTGATTAATCGGCGGTCCGCACGTGAAAATTAGGTTTACTGACTGGGCCATATTTGGATGCGTGACCCGAAGTGGCGCGACCCGCATTAGATACTCGTATATTTGTTTTTATTCTCAGATCGTTATGATCATTTGCAATCAGTTCACAACTTTTTTGGAATTTTATGGATGTTTTACCACTTGAATTGAAATTGATTCAAAAGTTAGCTTTTCTTAAAATATTTATTTTTGCAAAATAAATAAAAAACACATCCTTTGAAATGTTTTCATTTCACTCAGGGATTCGAAAAATGATAAATATTTTAAAACATTTTTTGATCCTTTAAAGGATAGTTCTTCTTCAACTACATTAAAATTGTGAGATATCCTAACGAATAGTTTTGTCCATGTACCAACGTAGTTTTCTGAACATTTATTTTACGGTCCCTTTGATCATCCTTAGTTCTAAGAAATTAACACTGAAGAAAATGATGAAACTAAATTCCATCAGCTTAATTGCAGGCGTGTAGCCTATGACGGAGGGATTTCCGCACAAAACGCTTTTTTTATACTTGGAAACTAAATATTTTCGAACCTAGCTTTTGGCAGGAATTGTTTTAAATCTCTAGTCGGACATTAGCGTTTTACATTTTTTTATGTGTCAAATTTGAAACACTCGTGCCAAACTGATAATTTTATTTTAATTTATAAATTGCCTCTGTGTGCGTCACTGGACTGTGAAAACGCCTAAACAACTCAGAGCACGTCTTTTAATTCAAAAACGGTTGTTTTTGCGCAAGCAATTTGCGAAATTTCCGTCTTAATGACGCTTTATATATTCCCGTTGGCTCGTTTTCTTTAATTAAGACCCTAAATTGTCTTTTAATATTGTTTCGGACCGAGTTTGCGTCATAAATTTACCCCGATCTCCCGTTTAACGATACTGATATTATACGAGACGCTACTAAAAGTGTATTTCACAGTAGAACAAATGACAACATGTCTAGTGATGTGATGATGTAGGGCGTGAAATATGTGATTATTTCAGTTTAGGGGTGCGTGTGGATTTGACCCCATTTTATTTCGAAATTTCGATGTTCGTTTCACTCTGCCTCCTGCCTTCCTCCTCCTTCGAAATGCAAACGACTCCAGGCCGATACACCTGTGGCACAATTTCCGCGCCGGAAAAAGCAATTAGGTGCCGTCTATCGTCTATCTGGTCGCTCCTGTGCCCCTCCACTCCCAACATCCCCCGACCCGGATCGGCTTAAATTTAATTTCAGCGGGACAGAGTCTCTGTTTCTTCCACGTCTTGGAAGAGCTTTATTCATTCAGTTCCGCAAAACGCTCAAGGGCTCTTTTCGGGGCCCGACCAATTTAACAGGCCAATAATCCAACGAGAACTTGCAACATGTAGAAAATAAACGAAACGTAGTTTTGAGTACAATCAAAATTTACTGTCACCGTCGAACCGCTGGCGGAAAACGTCCTGACCGTATGCCGCGTCTATAAATGCCATTATTACGCATTGGATGACATCTGGCGGAAAACGATATCGTTGTGTTTACTTTGCGTTTAAACTTGTGCGATACCGAGACCCCGTAGGAAATATGATTCCTGTTTGCGTTCAAACTGCGGCAAACTTCTCTCCTATTTCCTCGATATTCCGAGGGGAGGTCTGTGCTTATTTAAAGTTCCAACTACGATAATCATTGTTGGCTCGGTATTGTTTACGTTTTGTACTCCGATAAACATCCTCCGGCGGCACCGCAAAAGACGAGAGCGCCAGCGTCAATAGATGAGCGAGTGAGATAACGTGCCGGTGAGTGTCATGAACGTCAAAGTTGTGCGAGAGTTCCTTCATTATTATTTCATTATAGGATTAAACAAGTGAAAAGAGTTTTTTCCCCAATTGCTATCTTGTTTATTTGTAACGCTTAAACTAAGCGGTTTAGTAGAAGTTTTGGGACGCTAGGAAATGCTTTGATCAACTCAAATTTTCAAAAACCCCCCGTATAATTACGTGGCGAACGCGTTCGATCGCTGTCTCTAGAATTTGTCGGAGTCAGAAAGTCGACTCGAACTATTTCCGTATTAAAAGCCTTTAAGCTCCGAAACGGCCATAAAGCTTGGCGGCGTATATCTCATTCTTTTTATTGGGATGGCGGATCGTATATATATAACAATCAAAAAACTTAAAATTACTTTTTCCGGGTTCGGAGGCGACCTATATTGGGGGCTCCGTCCTAATATCGGCACTAGACGCGATCATCGACAAACTTTTATCCACTTGTATCGTAGTTGGGGGCCAGAGGGACGTGCCCATTCCCTAAATTCGTGAAAGTTCCTCTCGGAGTGTGTTTTTTTTTTTAACGCGGGGAACGTTATCCTTTATAGCGGACTTAAGAGACTTGAACGGATAAGGTGAGAGAGAAAATTGAGCCTTTTAAGTTGAAAACGTTTCGGATTCCTCGAGATTCGAATAGTTGTCGAAATTATGTTTTCCAATTACCGATCATTTAACAGATTTAAAATGATGTAACAACATTTTCTGGCATCTAGATGCAGTCACGTTTCAGAAACTTTTACACGCTTGTGGACCGCCCCTGATGTCTAGTTGTTCTCCTCAAAGCATAAAACGACGACCGCATAATGCCATATCGGAGTATCATGCTAAGATACGATGTTTGTTACAGGGCGGCGACGTTGTTCAAGAAACCATATCCGCCAACGCCACCGAAGACACTGTGACCCTGGAGTTCCAGAGATCGGATGGCACTCTAGTCACTCAAGTAATCGACTTTCGAAACGTGAGTAAACAAACCCCATAGCGTCGCTAAGAAAATGTTTTTCCCAACCGAGTGTCGGTTTCGATGGTCGTCGCGTGACTTCGCGTCGACGTCGGTGCAGTCACGAACTTCTGAAAGTTTTTAAAAGTATCGCCGACGAGGGCGCCGATCTCTTAAACCCGATCGTTTTAATTCGCTCTGTTCGATATCTGATCGCGAGCCGCGTAGTTTTTCCTTTTCTTGTATTTATTTACTAAACTAAAAAAAAAACTTGCTTACTATGGGATAAAATTTTATTATCAAAAGAGCTAAGCCGATCGTGTCGTTTGCTGAAAATGTTCTTAGGTATTATCGCACCGTCCTGGACTGCGTTTTTTTAACATTACATTGTGCGACGATCCTACCGACTGCGCCCATTATGGTAAAGCTGAGTTTTGTCGAATAGGGTGGGGCGGCAAAGGCGTAGGTGGTGGGGCGAATTGTTCATCGAACGACCAGGAACAAAATTCGTATTCTCGGAAAAACGTTCAGGCGTCGCGGCGCGCCGTTTTACTTAAGCCGCTAGGCGAAGTGCCGCGTTAGTTTTATTGCAATTTACTGTGATGGCGCAGGGGTGTTGGAGATCGCCGCCCTCGCCCCGAGGAAATTCGGATTAAGTAGTAAAACATTTTATATTACTTCTTCTTCTTCTTCGTGTTTGCCGTGCGCTCTCGTCTAACCAAATTACAAATCGTCGGCTCGGAGGGCTGCGGCGGAGGGGAGCGGGTACATATTATTCCGGGTCAATCTAATCTCGAGACGTTCACGCAGGGTATATGCGAATCCGATGAGTGGCCCATAATGTTGAACTCGCGGATTATAGGCAGGTTCATCTTGAGAATTGAAATTTTGGTACACACAGAGAAATTTGTTTTTGCGTGCTGTTCAAACCATAGTTAGTATTACTAGACGGAACATAAAATAATTGCGGATTATAATTAATTCTGAAATTCAATGTTGAAAGAAGAGTACAGTCCATAAGGCCCGAAAATAACCTAAAAATGAATGAAGTATGTAATCTTCGTGTTTCTAGAGTAGTTAAAAAACAGTAGCTGCAGCTCGTGTCTCGTTTGTTTTCCGAGATCTCACTGATCGAAATGGGAGTGCGTCGAATTTAAATTATCCCCAATAACGAAAACCCCTAATTTCGTATCAAACTAACCGTTATCAAGTTTCATCGTGGCTACGGCGTTTGCATATTGACGCGCGTGTCCCCGTTTCGGCGCAGTCGGTAGGATATATCCTCGGTCCAAGGTTGCTGTCATTAATTACGTCGCGGTTTTTTTCTCGACATTTGCGTCATTATTCCGAACTTTTCTCCCACCGGCGACTTCTGTGTCGGTCGTTAATTTTAATGTACTTTTTTGTGCGTGTAAAAGGTGACTACATGGTCGGCGGAAAAATGCGTGTGGTGCGAGCCGTTCGAGTTGGGGGGGGGGCGTTCGTCTTTGTAGACTCATTTATTATTCGCGGTGTAAGGTTCGAGGACCGAGAGGGCAATAGTATACAGTAGTAAACAGAAACGTTTGCTGCGAGCAAAAATAATATCTGCAGAAGTATCTACACGCAAAAAACAAAATGCTTGGTTCAAATAGGTTGAGCTCACTTAGAACATAGGTAAGCTTTACATAAACTCAAGACTATGTCGGTTTGAAATAAAAATGGCAAAATCTCAATATCTAAAGTTTTCTTTTAACAAAATGAAATGTTTCGTTAGTATTTCAAATTTTTCAATTAAAATTGTAGGTAATTCAAATTAAACATTCATCGCTTCATTTTAAAATTTTATTTATTTATTTGACTTGAATTGAGCATACACCGGATTGGTTTTAAAAATATAAAGTTACTATTAAAATTAAGTTAAATGAGCATAATATTATATTGAATTTTTGGTAGTTTTAAATTAGTTAGATATATACTTAAAAATTTTAAAAATAAGAGTTGTTCATTTTCAAAGAAAATTGTAACACTGTACAGGAGTACGAATGACGGCTTTTCTAACATACGTAGAAATCTAGTAGAACGTGGAAGCATTAGCGTATCACCAATATTCCTGAAACAATTGTTTTTTATTTACAACAATAAAATGAGAAAGTTCCGCTATTATTTTCCATTTTTGTAACGTAGGTGAATGAATGTCTATCTTAGAATGATCGAAACGCAAGGAATGCATCCTTACCATTGTATAGAAGTACAGAATTTATGACCCGAAAACTTTCCAAATCGTTTAGAGTTTTGGATTTGCAACCCTGAAGATATTTTGAACAACTTTTTCAAGAGATTAAGCTTCTAACGCTTAGGGCGCGCATTTCTGGAATCATGAGCATCCGAGGGTTGTGAACCAAATTTCAACATAGGTTTTCTATCAATTTTTGGCAGGTCTCATAGGTTATATGTGAAAACTAACGCTTATTTAAGTACTTAATCGTTGGGAGGTATTACTTCAGCAGAATGGAGCACCTGCTCACTTCAGACAGGGTGTATGAAACTGGTGAGGTGAAAATTTTGCAAACCAAGTGGATAGCTCGAGATTTTCCAGTAAATTTTCCAGCTCGGTCACCTGCCTTAAACTAAGTAAGTTATTATTATCTGTGCCATACAAGTAGATAGTCCAGAAGAGTTACTAATGTTGCTGGAAATTGAATTAGGAACAATTGATTCAAGATTATTCGTGCATCTCAAAATGTGTTTGAAAACCTAGTGAAATTAGTGATTTTTATTGTTAGTAATTCAATACCGAATTATAAATTAAAATTACTAGTTGTTAATTTATTTTTCCTAACAATCGTCTGCTAGCGAGCCTTCAAATGAAAATCAAGAAATAACAAGGCCATCAATCCACGTTCAAGGCCTACTTTTTAATTTTAAATACGTAAGATGGACATGTTAAACAGGGTATTTTTGAAATAAATTTGTCCCTAAAGTGGTCCATTCTGGCGATATCAACTAAGTGTACCTTTTTCCGGTAAAAAGACATAACTGTTCCGATTTCATAAGAAAAAAGTCTAAAAGGTAATCCAGAAAAAGTTATTGCAGTTTTTGTTACGCCCTTAACCACAATTTGACATTTATAATTGTAGAATCTCAACCCGTTTCGGAAATATTAATAAAAAAAAACCATTTTCAGGTCCATTTCTGTTAGAGCATGTGATTTTATATTTAAAACTATGGTTTATTTTGGACGTAGAATATGCTGTTGGTCTACTGATTTTGGGACAGCCTATATATCTGTTTAAATTGATTCGAATTTTGCTTCGAAACTCGACCTCTCCCGCGACGGTGATAATTTCTATTTTGCGCATAAATCCCGTTTAACTGCGCCTGCTGCTGTTTCGTTGTGACATCGCAAACTGTTAACTGAAATTAATAATCCCGAACAAAGGCTCGCATCGAAATAGTTTTCACGTTTTAATTTTCGGTATCAGTGAGCGTCGAGTTTTCGATGTTTTTCGAGAATACAGGGATTAATCGAACAGATAATTTGCATAGCATATTTAGAGGACTATGCCACAAAATTGGCGCAAAAAACTCGCTTCAAAAAATTTTACACTTAAAAATCGGTATCTTTCGCTTATCTTATCTTAACTCATTGTTATACAGAGTGTTATAGAAATGTAGATCAATCCATTAACGATATATTCTTTTGGCTCTTTTTTCAATTTCAATGTTTTAAAGATACAGTTATTCAAAGTTGAATTTTTAAAATACATATCTATTAATGTCTTTATGAATTACATTAATTGTAACTTTTGCTTTAATTCAACCTAAGATTTTCAAAGCATTAATTGTATGTAATGCTTCCTTCAATTAACAAACTACCTAATGACGTCTTTGAGTTGTTTACTAAAAATCATACTCCAACTGTGTTTAGATAAAAGTGTGATATGTACCAAACTTCAAAAAGATATCTCAAAATACACCGGAGATATTCATAAATATGCATTTTAAGAAGATAATTTTGACACTCTGTGATATTGAAAACAAATCGTTCAAGTGAAAAGTGGTAATATATATTGGTAAATATAATGGCATTGACAATGCCAAGTGAGATCTTGGCGAAACGTCTGCAGGATTCCAGTCGGAGTTCAACAAACGAGGATGATATCCCGGAATATATATTGTCATTACATTTTTCCATCCGTGAATTGATACACCCTGAAATTGAAACACACTACATTTCTGGACAGCGGAGCTTGATCCTTCGCACACTTGGCTCGATTTTCTTAATGAGATTTAGGCACTTTTTCGGAAAATACTACCGACAAATGCTTCAAATACTACTGAAATGTTGTTTTATGTTGGTGTCAATATTTTCGCTAAGGGCTGATTTGCTAAGTAATTAGATGAAATTTGTGAAGTGTGTTTTTGTGTTTTATTTTGAATTAGCCACTGAAAGTACGTCATCTAGTGAAAAACTAAAAACCATTAAAAATTGACAAAACGTATTTTTATGAACCTTATTTTTTTGGACCATTTCGTAAATATTTAAGAAATTAACGTTAAAGAAAATGATGGAAATGGCTGCTGCATTGTCTGTTACAAAAGCCGTTTTCTTAAAAAGTATTTTATACCCCTTATTTTGGAAACAAAGCATTTCAGAACTTACGTTGATACCGGGTGACACAAGAAAGTGGGAACACTCTATAACTTTTAAACTGCTTCAGGGTTAATAATATAGGCTGAAAGTGCATTTTTTTGCGTTTTTGGATGGTTTTGCTCTTTTTTTGGTTTTTTTTTATTTGATTTTTGAAAATTGTGTCTAGGAGGTTGTGACCATTATAAATACTATTTACCGGGTCACATGGTCACGGGAAAAATTGTCAATAAAACTTTTCTTTACTTGTCTAATTGCAAATAGCATTTAATGTAATGAACTATAATTTTTTTTTGGATAAGATACTTTTTTTGCAACATTTTGACACCAAAATTTTCAAAATCCGTTAAGAAATAAGCTCACAGGAAGGAAAAACCGAGATAAGTAA